CGTCATCGTAGACACCAATTTCAGCTCAGCCGTGTAGGAAGCAACGGAGAAATACTTACCGGAATGAAGTTTAATCTTGTAGAGGAGACACATTAACAGTGGCTGCTGGAAGCACCTACCAAAAATACCAAAAACGACTTGAAAGCCTTGGAAGTGAAGTTTGAACTTGAACCAGTGGGAGATCGTCTCGTGATTTGCATAGTTGTTATTTCACGTCGGTGGATCGGTGATCTGCGGGATAAATGGCACCAGTCTAAGGAGCAGAATTTCTCATGAAGGCCTTGGCTGATCAATACTCTCCGAAGACCGCTGTGCCTACGGAGAGATGCGATACTGAACGCGGGAACCTCGACGTGCAGCAGGAGGTAGAGCGGGACATAGTCGGATGTCGATATGTAAACAATATGCGTGTCCTGGACATGTTGGCTGGCGACTGAACGAGAGCATAAGTGAAGCGTCAGCATCTGCGAACTCAGACAAGTGCAAGTAAGGGTCTTTTATACTTCACGTATTAGAACGCGATTGGATAGATGAGAAGGTAATAATGACGTGACAATTGAGTCTTCCTGGCAGAACTTCCGCTACGCTTTCATTTATACAGCTCTCAAATTTAATCAAAAATATCTTCATTTGTGTTCCGAAGATGAACGAAGGTCTTACGGGGTTGGTACAGCATGGGGGTGAGTAATTAATGACTTAATTTTCATTTTTGGGTGAACTAACTAAATTAATTTAATTTGGGGAGGAGACTGGGTGGGGCGTTTTGCTCGTGCATGTGCGCTCAATTTTACGTTAATTGGGATGTACAAAGAGAATATGCGTGGGATCCTTCGTACGCAGAGATTCATACATCTGTTTTTTTTTGTGCGTACGCACATTTACAGCTTTGTTCGTACGCAATATTTTAGTATGAATTCAACGCAAGTCTTTGAACATGAGGCCCCTGGTCTGTTGAGGTTCCAAGCGTACCGTACCGGTACTAAAATGTGAGGTGAAACTCCACATCACTGATTGGTCAGACAGAGTCTATTTGCGACGCGAGAAACCAAACCCACTAGATTTCAATAGTCAGTAACAGCCACCGCTGTAGTGACTGTTTTTAAACGAATCCCACCCACTTTAAAGCGGTACTAACTGCAATGGAAAAGCAACCGAGCTAAAGCAAAGCGAACCGAGTCGTACCGCGCAGTGGAAAAGCGCAAATAGACCCCCCCCCCCCCCAAAAAAAAAAAAAAAAAACACCATAAAAATAACAGCGTATACGTTTAGAACATCATGTAAGTGGGTTCAATTAGACATAATTTTCATTTCTTGGTTTAACTTTCCTGTAAATAATAATAATAATAATAATATAATTAAAAACTGGTTGATAGATCACACCTAAGAAAAAAAAAAACATTTATAAAATTCAAACATTCAGAACATCCCATCTGAGAACATGAACCACTGGGGCATGTTTCATAAGGGATGTATGAGTGAGAGAAGCTATACATTCTGTGTGTGGAAAGCTCTTTTCCATGCCAGGACGTTTACATTTCACCTCTTTTTTATTGCTCAAACAGTTTATGCATAACGAAGATGCAACCATGATTCAATACAATCAAAGCAACGTGAAAATTAAAGGAGAGCTCCAAACGATATTATACCACACAGAAAAGAGATTTAATATGACAGCATGTCAAATAATACTCAGAAGTAAATCAATATTTCAATAAATATATAGTTAAATAAATATTTAGAAACATATTGACACTTTGATATGAACTCTTAAACTTTAGAAAAGTATATTTTTATAATGAATAAATTAATAATAAATAGTGCTAAATAATCATAATATCATTCCCAGACAATTGTATCATTTTCTATAGAGCCAATGAGGCTGCAGCATGCTTAAATTAACATATCTTTCCCTTAGAAATAACTGAAAACTGACTGAAAAAAACAATCAAATAAGAAACTCAGCAATGCTTCTTTTTTTTTTTTTTGTGTATAAAACTGTACAAACAGTCAACATAAAACAATACACACAAGTGTACAACAACACCAACATGAACAAATATTCCTTACATATTTACAAAAGAATTGTTGTCAACTCTGTGACAGGCATTTTGGATTTGCAGAATTCAGTCAGTGACATTTCTACGATAATGCATCATATTTAGTATGCACAATTTTAGGAATATTCAGCTTCATTTAGGAGGGTAAACAATTGCAGTAAACAAGCAATAGTTGAAGCACTTCGGTCTTTTGGTCCAAAAAGAACTTTGTTTGTAAGAATTCAATAAGAGGAATGCACAGTGGCAAAGTGAGGAAATTAATTAACATTACATAAAACCATCATGTTTATATATATATACATATATATATATATATAATTAATGCGTTCACTAATTTCCTTAGATCCAGCACAAAAGATGAAGTGTGCCATTTCTACATCACTAGCATCACCAATCAGATTGTTTCCAAACATTCACCCTGCCTGCGATTGGTTGAAATACAAATAGCCCCGCCCACGGCAGGCTATTTAAAGGGGTCATCGGATGCAAAATTCACTTTTATATGGTGTTTGCACATAAATGTGTCTTTTGCACAACCACCATACAATAAAAAAAATCCATTCACTCCTTTTTTTAATCTTCAAAAAGCCTAAACACTCTCAATAATCAAGCCGTTTGGATTTTCTGAGCAATATGATGTCATATTGCACATGCTCCGCCCACGACCGTTGACGGACTGTCCCATTTTAGCATATTTCTGCCCTCAGCCATTTGTATACGGTCTCCCATGGCAACACTTCACATGTCTTGTGTCGACACGCCCCACGGAAGAAAGGTGGGGTGAGCAGTTACTCATTTTCTTTTAAAGGGACACATTCGAGGTGTTTTTGAGGAGGTAAAAAGTGTGTTGTTTTACACAACCATTGAGGAATTTTTAACCAAAGTGTGTTACAAACTTTACATGAAGACCCTATGAAGAATCATACAAACTTATGGAAAATGAGCATCTGTTGACCCCTTTAAAGTTCTGAAAGTGCCACAAAGCCACAGTGTTCACACTCTTTAGGAAGGCAACCTTTAAATAGATTATAAACAAAGTTTTATAAGTGTGTCTGCACATTAAACCTAGACAAGGAGAAAGTACTTGAGAGAAAATTATGACACACTTCACCTTTGAAGAAAGAGTGTGAGGAAAGCTCAACCTGCTGTTATTTGTTACCATAGACTGTAAAAAAAGATGGACGACTGGTCTCCAGTTCCTTCCATTGAAGAAAAATCAAGCCAAAATATCCCAGAAACGGTCATTGCCGATTTCGTCATTCGAAGCATACGCAGTCGTGATCATAATATAATAATCTGCTCGAGTCTGAAACAAATCTCCGTGTTGGATAAAACCTTGCTTTTAAAGGAGTAGTTCACTTTTAAAAAAAACTTTTGCTGATAATTTACTCACCCCCATGTCATCCAAGATGTCCACGTCTTTCTTTCATCAGTCGAAAAGAAATTAAGGTTTTTAATGAAAACATTCCAGGATTTTTCTCCATATAATGGACTTCAATGGGAACCAAACGGTTCAAGGTCCAAAAGACAGTTTCAGTGCAGCTTCAAAGGGCTTTAAACGATTCCAGACGATGAATAAGGGTCTTATCAAGCGAAACGATCACTCATTAAAAAAAATAATAACAAAGTTTAAGTTTTATAAGCTCAAATGCTCGCCTTGCTCTGTTCTGTGATGCACGTTCGTGACTCTCCTGTTCGAACTCTTTCATCAAAATGAACGAATCTTTTCCCGAGTCAATTCGTTCATTTTGTTCGATGAATGAACCAAATGACACGGAAAAATTAACGCCCATTTTTTTTTTTAAAAATGAGCGATCGTTTCGCTTGATAAGACCCTTATTCATCGTCTGGAATCGTTTAAAGCCCTCTGAACTGTTTGCACTGAAACTGTCTTTTGGACCGTGAACCGTTTGGACCCCATTGAAGTCCATTATATGGAGAAAAATCCTGGAATTTTTTCATCAAAAACCTTAATTTCTTTTCGACTGAAGAAAGAAAGACATGGACATCTTGGATGACATGGGGGTGAGTAAATTATCAGCAAAAGTTTTTTTTTAAAAAGTGAACTACTCCTTTAACAATGCAATAAATTCCTAATAGGTAAAATCAAATCCAAGCGTGCATTTAGTTGTTTTTGAGTAGATTTACTCATAAATAGGGCATAATATGGGATGCAATTGCAGATTCTTGACTTCAAAGTTTAGGTTGCATGAGCTTCCCACACCACCCTGAATTATGCTGTTGCATTAGAGACCATTATAAAGGGATATAGAATCAAATTTACAGTAAATGGATTGAAAACCATGTTGACATCATCCAAAATACTGTTAATAGAACATTCCTGGTTTAACAGAAGAAAACGGTAAAGATACAGCAATGTGTGTAAACGGTTGATTTCACAAGTGTTTTTTTTGTGTATGGGCCCAGCACAAAATATCAAACCATAAGCACTAATGTGCATGGTCTAATAGATAAAAAAGGTCAAAAACAAGCACCATCACGAAAAATCGTAAAATTTACACCAAATAAATAAATGCTTTTTAAATGGTAGCACTTTATTTTGATGGTCCCCTTAAGACAGTGTTAACTACAAGTAATGTTGCACCTACATGTCAACTGACTTACAGTTAGTAGAATGTAAACAGTGGACTATCAAAATGAAGTGAAACCAAATAAATAAATAAATAAATAAATCACTATAATTTGCTAATCTATATCACAGAGAGAGGTCCAAAGTCAGATTCTCACAGAGCAAAACACGTCAAACCGAACGTAACATCATTTTCACTACGTACATATGTACAAAGGCAAATGTCATTTCAAAAGCACTGCTGAAAAAGCTGTAGAAAAGAGCGGCGAGAGATAGAGAGAGATAGAAAGGCATCTTGCAACAATCCACGACACGTCTGTCTGGAGCAGATGGGAAAGAGCGTCGGAGCGTGATTATATTCAGAGTCCCTGGGTGGTTTTGGCCTAGTCTTTAGTCCTGCTCAGTGGACGCCGTCTAATAAGAGGGCACCATGTCTTTGATCACGGGTTCTCTGTTCAAATACGTCGCCCAATAAACCAGGTTGAATGTCCCGAAGAGAACCGGGAACATGATACGGGATATGCGGTCGATTTTACTCACGCTGTTGAAGGTTTTCTTCGCCTCGGCCGGTTTTCCGTCGGCTTTGGTCTTTCCCGGTTCGGCTACGTTCCCCTTGGCGATGGTGGGGAGGACCGTGTCCTTGGTGATGTTGGGGGCGTAGTTTGCCACAGCGACGGCGTAGGCGTTGTTCTTCTTGATGACTGAAGCCTTCTCCTTTTTCTGTGGGAAATTGAGAGTTTGCCATTTTTAAGAAGTCAATATGCTTGTCAGTCCTGTTTGGAGAGCTAATTGTAATTTTGGTTGGATGGTTTGGTTATGAAAGCGAGTAAGAACAATATTTTACGACATCTAACAAAATGACTAAAATTTATTAAAAAAAATGTCTAGTTCAGTCATGAAACTGTAGAGGTTGCAGACTGATAAGTTCTCTAAATGCAATCTGCAAACAATCACTTCATTACAGCATGGTAGAAGCTGATTGGCCTCTGCTGATCACGCAGCCAATGAGATTGCTTGCTCAACATTTAAATTAGGGACATTTAAATCGCGATTAATCGTATCCAAAATAAAAGTTTGTGTTTACATTATATGTATTATGTATAATTAACTTGTATATATAAATACCAACACATGCATGTATATATTTAAGAAAAAATTGTTATTAATATATCAAATATTTATATTTATAAAATAAATAAATTATGTATAAATATATAAAGTATACATGCAAATATTTCTTAAATATATACATGCATGTGGATGCGATTAATTTTGGATGCGATTAATCGCATCCAAAATAAAAGTTTGTGTTTACATAATATATGTGTATGTAGTGTGTATAATTAATTTGTATATATAAATACACACACATGCATGTATATATTTAAGAAGAAATTGTTATTAATATATCAAATATTTATATTTATATGTAATAAATTAATTATGTATATATGAAGAGTTCAGATGCAAAAGCCTCTAAATGCCATTTGAAATTTTCTTCTAAAAGGACCATTTTTATCAAGCTTGTATATTTAAGTTCAGTAATTTCACTTAAATAACAATTAATAGGTAATCTTCATTGCCATTTAAGTGAAATTACTGAACTTAAATATACAAGCTTGATAAAAATGATCATTCTAGAAGAAAATTTCAAATGGCACTTAGAGGCTTTTGCATCTGAACTCTTCAAATATATATAAAGTAAACATGCAAATATTTCTTAAATATATACATGCATGTGTGTGTATTTATATGTACAAATTAATTATACACACTACATACATATTATGTAAACACAAACTTTTATTTTGGATGCGATCAATCGCGATTAATCATTGCCCATCCCTAATTTAAATAGTCTGGTTGATTGTTGTAATCTAGTTCTGCAGATCGCTATCAGAGTCAGTGTTGCCAGATGTACATATTTGTGCGATGATTTTGACCTCTGTATGATGTATCATACATTATGGGAAAAAAATCCCATAATGTACGATAATTTCAGAATTTTGTGACACTTCAATCGGAGGTCATTGTAATCACAGTGCTTCCATATTCATTGATCTAGCTGTGGATCTACGTCATGATTGTGAGGAGAAAGTGAAGGTGAGAGAGCACGGCAGAGAGGGAGAGGGCGAGAGACCTTGCGTGTGTGCCTCATGAAAGCTACATCCCCCGCTCCCCCCATCTCAACCGTTTGCCTCATGTACGATCATTTTCTTCCAAATACGATCATTTTGAGTGTCTGGTACAATACTTGGAAATTTCCAATCTGGCAACACTGACCAGAGTGCCTCTGAACCCCTCCACCTCCCCAGCTCCACCTGCCTAGATCTGCAATGGGACTTATGTGTCCATTCATGCAGCAGCATATTCAATTACATGCTAAAATTAGTCCAAGAGTTGTCATGATTGAACTGAAAAAAAATGAAATAAAGGCACAGCTGTGACTCAACGTCCAATGCCAAATCTATTTGTACAATTTATACAGATAGTTAACTGGCCATTATCCACGCTGGAAGTAATAAATCTGCTCCAGTCTCCAGGACGATTTGAGCCTATATATGTTTGTCAATCCCAAACATTGTGGGAATGCAGACTTTGTGTGTTATACATCATCCACTTGCCGGATAAAACCACACTGATTGTAAAACATGAGTGGTATTATGATGAGGAGTTGATGGGACAACTGGAGGTGTCGAGGATGAGCAGGCTCATGATGAACAACAAGGAGGAAGATTCATGATTCAATAAGTTCTTGTCATAACAGCAGTGGAGAAAATCCGCTGTGCCGGCACCGCTTGAACACAGAAAAATAACAAGATCCCACACACGACAAGCACTCATTAATAACAACTTTCTCTCTCTATCCAAGAGCGAAACATCAAGACACACATGCAATCCACACATATGGGCCTGGATAATATAGTTAAAAATGATATGTGTGTTTGTGTGTAGATAATGCCGCTCAGGGACGTGCAGGGGTGAAAAAAGGGCACTTCTCATAATTTTTTTACAATTTATTTTCCTTTTTTTTAAACAAAAAATTATATATTTAATCATCAGAAACTCAAAATTATATGTTATCTGAACTAAATAAATTATTTAAGTTGATTTGACAAACGAAAAAATGTTGTGATTACTACACTGTAAAAAAATATTGTTGGTTTAACTGAAAAAAGTAAGTAACCTGGGTTGCCTTAAAATGTTAAGTTGATTGAACTGGAAAAAGTGAGTTAATACAATGAAGGAGATTAATTTAATCATCAGAAACTCAAAATAATAAGTTATCTCAACTAAATAAATTATTCAAAAGTTGATTTGACAAAAGAAAATATGTTGTGATAACAAAGCTTGAAAATATTTTTTACAATATTTTTTTTGTAAATCATTACTATTGGACACCCTTCACGCATGTCTGTGAGTTTTGCAAATATTTAACCAATGAAAAGTATTAAAAAGAGCTTGTGACTAAACCTTGTAACTCCACCCGATGGCAATGATATACATAAAACACACACACAGATATATATACACACACAACCTTATATACTACTCTTCAAAATACAATCAATTTATTTTTCTCACCAAGCATGCTGTTTCAAATGAAAACACGTTGTAAATGGCGTTTCATGTTGACTTTAAAGGGAAAGTCCAGCTCTGAGTGACACAAGATGACTCAGCAGTGACTCGCGCAGGTGTTTTGATGGCGAATGCGCCGAGCGTTTAGTCTGTTTCTCCAGCTGGGATCTCGGCACATGCCCGCAGGCCCTGCTCTCATTCCGGGTGTTTCAAAAGGCCACAGACCTCCACCTCCCCCTCACCCCGAGAGCTGATGAATGCGCCCCAGGAAGCAGCGCTGCGGTAATTAAAGAGAGTGACGGGAACTATAGTAATGCATCAGTATAAACGCAGGATGGTTACTAAAAGAGGCCGTTTGCTACTCTGTCAGCTCAAACGCCACTGAAATTCAGATGAAGATCTAAGCGAACAAAGTATGATCACTGGAAATTAGTTTAACTACTTACTACTCCTTAGAAGTCACTTGGAAGTCTTGAATCAAATCAGTGAAGATCTCCGAAAGGTTCTGAGCATCAGGTCAGAGTGTAATACAAGGTTTGGGTAACACTTTATAATAACTACACGCTAATAATCATTAGTTAAGCATGAGTAAACCATTAATTCATCATTCATAAAGCATTAATAGACATTAATAAGCAGTTCATAAATACAGCTATAAATGCTTTCTTCTTGATTTAAAAGCATATCTATAATTTGTTTAATAATTGTATTTTCATCCTTTATTAATGATCAATTTATCATTTCTAAATGAAGAATTGCATTTTTTATTAACCTGTTATTTAAGAGTTGTCCGTGGTTCATACGATTACTTAGAGCGAGTAAGTAAATGATTAATAAACTATTTAAATGTACATGCATACATCTTATTATTCAGACATATGGTAATTTAATGTGTTAATAAATGCTTTATTAACATGTATTAATGCTGTAATTAAGGGTTGATTTGAGTAGTTATAAAGCATTTAGTAGTGGTCAGTTAACTATGTTCGTGAGCTCATCTAAAGTGAGGACTAGTCATGCCTTGTAAAGCATTTTTAAAGGCTGTTAAATATTTCTGTGTTCTGTATCACTGCGTTGTGTTTGTTACATTTTACTGTTTAGAAGATTGACGAGTCTTTAAATCACCTTTATAAATGCTTTACAAAGCATGAATAGTCCTCACTTTAGATTAGCTCACAAAAATAGTTAACTGACCACTACTAAATGCTTTATAACTACCTGTATTTACTACATTTACTTACACTTTCTAAGTGGTCTTATGAATGAATGACAACTCTTAAACAACTGGTTTGTAAATAATGCTATACTTCATTTAGAAATTATTAATTGATCATTAACAAAGTATGAAAATACAATCATTAAACGCATTATAGATATGCTTATAAATCAAGAAAAAACATGTACAGCTGTATTTATAAACTGCATATTAATGTCTATTAATGTTTTATAAATGATGAATTAACTGTTTACTCATGCTTAACTAATGATTAATAGTGTGCAGTTATTATAAAGTGTGGTTTGATGGTATCTAAAATCACCATGTTTAGCTGTGCATGTTAAAGGGGTGATGAACTGAGAAATAAAACTGACGGGTGAGTTGAAACTCATTATAATATGCAAAACTGTTATCCACTCACAGCAGTGGGCGTTTACTTCCATATCTTCAGTGCGAGACGCCCATAAAAAGCGAGCGTTTTTCAGCTAGGCTCAAAACTTGGGTACAAAATAGCCTATTACTTATTCATTTTGATGTTTTTGAACGTCATAAGCGAACGTCATAAGTTGACCTCAGACAACAATATAATAAAATTTAAAAAGCCAGTTCATGACCCCTGTAAAATGAACACTGCCAACGTGAGCATGTGCTGTCAAACAGCCCTCAGTGAAACAAATGAAATGACAATTTAAAATCCAACAGAGCCTTTTTCATGCTTAAATAATTTATTTATATGTTGTTTTAGAAAATGTATTTGGCAGACACGATGCTCACAATGTGTTTTCTGCACCACTAGGAAATTAATCTCACACAAACTATGATAAATAACCCCAAAATCAAAGATTAAAATGTTAATGTGGATGTAGATTGATTTGCATTATGCCAATGTGAATAAGACTTCACCCTTTTTAATGAATTTTCTTTTGCTTTTCGAAGTGAAAACACGACATGGACATTATCCTGACAGGTTATGTAAGATTCACTGTAGTTGCGCCATATCTTTAGATTGATTAGATCTATTTCTGGTGCATCAGACTCCGAAAACCTTTAAACCAAGAAATGTAGGTCTACTTTCTGTGACTGTGACGCTAAAATCTGCATAAACATACCAATTCTACAGGCTGTCATTTCTGATTGGCTGACTGACCTTTAGTGGGAAGAATGTGATTTGTGGAGAAGATTTGAAGGCTCATGCATAAGCAATGATCTGAGTCTGACTAGAGAAGGAAAAGACTCTTATGAAACCGATATTAATCAATCTCAGATAATGAGAATACGACTTCAGAATTGATGGTGTGTATGTCTGTCAGAGAGACAGGGTGACGGTAAATTTCAGGGTTGACCTCACTGGATTACAATAATTCTTTGCAGAGTACTAAAATCTCAATCATTAAAATCATTTGACTGGAAAATAGCATATAATGCAGTTTTGCTTGGGCTTAATTTTAATTGACTGTGCATGCTGTCATAAGTCTTGTCTGCAAATAAATGTCTCTTGCTGTATATTCTGGTATATGAATCTTGAATCATTAATGGTTCATACTGTAAATCAGATTTTAAAATGTCTTAGCCCAAGTATTAAACTTTGGGAGCATAACTTATATCTGCACCATGAATCATATCTGGACTTTCCTCTGTAATACATCAGCCCACATAGTTTGTATGAATAACCTCTAATTAATCTAATCTTTTTTTTCTTTCTTTCCTTTTAAATGCCATGCCAGCTTCTATGGCTGTTCATGGCGAAAGCCAGGTTAAGTTATTCAAAAATAAAAATGAAAAAATAAAGATGTTTAAGTTTTTTTTTTAAAAACCTTTAGGTTAAATTTGAATTTACTCGGTTAAAAAACGTTTTAAAAGTATAAACAGAACAAAAGAAGTTCAACAAAGAGGTAGAAGTATTATAGTCCAGCAAAATATGTTTAATGGACAGTGGATTCTGACCATTAATTTTCTCTTGATGAGTAAAATGTGAGTCTTGAGTGTACTATTCGGCACAGTGTGTAAATGACTGGATCCCAGCGATTATTACAAGGGGATATATGTTTTGTCCCATTACCAAAGATTTATCTCACGTAATTATTGTTTAAGCACTGATCTCATTTCGATTGCCAGTTATTTTTGGAGTATGCAATTAATGTTGGTCTCAGATCTGTGAAAGGTATTTTACTGGTTCTGTAGATAACGTCTCCTTGCTCATTACCAGAGACTCCTGTGTGGCCAGCACAGCACAAAATAATATTACTATTATATGATTCAGGGATGACAATTTAATTAAAATCTGCAAATATATTGATTTACATATTCCATGTCAAGACATGATTTTGAACCAGTTAAATAAAATCCTGTTACGAAGATATCTAAATGAACTTCAATCCCAAAAATAAAGCATTTCTCTTGGCAGTGAAAACTAAACTTAGGTCAGGAATGCGTATATCCTGACGGCTGACACAATTGATTCATTGCAAAAGCAGCTCCCATTTCCAGATTTTAGATCCATTTGTGTATATTGGGGCATGTTGTACATTGCTCTCCTGTCCAAGGATTGCTGTTAATAATCATTTGGATGAGTTTTTGATTTTTGTTTTCTTGTTAAATCCTTTTTGATATCCCATGAATTCTGCAAAAGTGTGTCTGTTTCAATTTTTTTTAATCCACTTTCACATTCTCCAGATGGGATTTAATGCGCAGACCAAATGGGCAGATCTAACTTGGTTTTAGTAATATTAGTGAATGCTGACAGCTGAAAGTTTGATTGCATATTTTATAGCCAACTTTATTCGTCGGATTTTCCAAGGACGGTTCGCTGGCTTCCACATTTGGACTTTGGACTGATATTCTATAAGCTCCCAAAGCCAATCATATGCCTTGGTGGTGTAGAATATCCAAAAGTCATATAAATGATTTCCTGGCTGATCCATGAATTATACCGTCATAGTCAAGCTTTGAGCAAATCAAAATTCTGTACAAATTCATATGAGTTTAACTGTCTGCTCCCCACATGGTTTAGGATAAAACCTTTAAAACGTTCATGGCTTTAAAACATTTCTTTGGAAGTAATTTAATGTGAGGAATAAACAGATTTCTCGGACTGGACTCTCTTTGGTCTCAGTCTCGACCCTCTTTGGTCTCGGTCTCAACTCGGACTCGACCCTCTATGATCTCGGTCTCGAATCGGACTGGACTCTCTTTGGTCTCAGCCTCAACTCGGACTGGACTCTCTTTGGTCTCGGTCTCGACTCTCTTTGGTCTCAGTCTCGACTCGGACTCGACTCGGACTCGAACCTCTTTGGTCTCGGCCTCAAATCGGACTGGACTCTCTTTGGTCTCAGTCTCGACTCGGACTCGACCCTCTATGGTCTTGGTCTCGACTCAGACTCGATCCTCTATGGTCTCGGCCTCGACTCGGACTGGACTCTCTTTAGTCTCAGTCTCGACTCGGACTGGACCCTCTATGGTCTCGGCCTCGACTCGGACTGGACTCTCTTTGGTCTCAGTCTCGACTCGGACTCGACCCTCTATGGTCTTGGTCTCGACTCAGACTCGATCCTCTATGGTCTCGGCCTCGACTCGGACTGGACTCTCTTTAATCTCAGTCTCGACTCGGACTGGACCCTCTATGGTCTCGGCCTCGACTCGGACTGGACTCTCTTTGGTCTCAGTCTCGACTCGGACTGGACCCTCTATGGTCTCGGCCTCGACTCGGTCTGGACTCTCTTTAGTCTCAGTCTCGACTCGGACTGGACCCTCTATGGTCTCGGCCTCGACTCGGACTGGACTCTCTTTAATCTCAGTCTCGACTCGGACTCGACTGTCTTTGGTCTCAGTCTCGACTCAGACTCGATCCTCTATGGTCTCGGCTCGGACTGGACTCTCTTTGGTCTCGGTCTCGACTCGGACTGGACTCTCTATGGTCTCAGTCTCGACTTGGACTCGACCCTCTATGGTCTCTGTCTTGACTCGGACTCGACTCTCTTTGGTCTCGGCTCGGACTCGACCATCTATGGTCTCGGTCTCGACCCAGACTCGACCCTCTATGGTCTCGGTCTCGACCCAGACTCGACCCTCTATGGTCTCGGTCTCGACTCGGACTCAACCCTCTATGGTCTCGGTCTCGACCCAGGCTCGACCCTCTATGGTCTCGGTCTTGACTCGGACTCGAGTGAGCTGGTCTCAACTACAACACTGTTTGATTGTGAAGAGCTTGCCTTTCTGTTATTTCTTATTTGCCTTTTGGTTCTCAGTTGTTGAACTCTGCCTGAGATGAATGTCATTTGAAAGAGTTTTGCTGCTGAATTCCTATATTATTCGTCCTTGAGAAAAGATTAGTTTAAGATTAGATATAGTTCTAAACAGTATGAGGTTTATCTTTATGCATTCAGGTGATACCTGTCTGGCAATCTATTGTTCTCACAGCTTTATTTTGACAGCAGAAGCAAACGTTTAAACAGGTGTAGAAGCACTATTTTCTTTGATTCAGGATAACCAATCCTCTTTGTACATCTGACCTTCTCTTTTTCCTATTCTTTGATTCAAATTGAACACTGTTTTGATGCAGCTTAATGATCACCGGAGCAATTACAAAAATTAGATGTTTTTTCACAACTCTCCTTGTCATGATGTTCCTCAACACAATTGCAACAGATGTGTTTGTTGTTGCAGCCATTACACCTGTGTGTACTTTTGACAATTGAAGTAATAGAAGCTAGAGCAAAGCACATATCTCAGAGAGCAAGATCTCTTCCTTCACCAACAAAGGTTGCAACTCACAGCAAACGAGTCGTCACTTTTTTTTTTTCTTGTAACAGTATTGGGATAACAAGGATCTATGGCCTCTTAATACCAGGCGTAAACAGGGCCTATTACACTCTATTATACTCTCATATGACTGAAATATGCAGTGGTCCATGATAAAATCATTATGGATTATTCTGTGGTTATCTCATTCTGACCTGCAGCGAGCCTCATGTATCAAAGACTATCAGCATGGCTTTACACTCAGGACATCAGCGAACATCAGTTCTTGTTCAGCATATAAAATAAACGCCTATATATAATTTACAGAGGTAAACCGTAATGAGACGCATCGCTTTTTCTAAGGTGCACTAAACAGATGGAGAAACATTGGATGTTGTACAACAACAAAATATAAAATGTTGGATGATTTACATAAGCATTCATTTAGGTATCAGCTTTGTCTGACAAATGATCATTTAAAATAGATTTAACAAGAAATGTTTGAGTTCATACACTCTAAAAAATGCTGGGTTGTTTTAACCCAACTTTGGGTCAAATATGGACTAACCCAGCCGTTGGGTTAAATTTTTACATTACATTTTTAACCCAACATTTTGGGTTTGTCCATATTTGACCCAAAATTGGGTTAAAACAACCCAGCATTTTTTAGAGTGTATGTTGAGCACATGTGAGATCATTATGGCCTGTTTCTGGTGACCTTTGATGAGATTTTTGACCTTCAAAGGTCACCAGAAATTACCTTTCTAATCAGATTTTTATTAAAAATTGTATTCATAGACCTAAACAAAGCAGAAATATGCAATTTTGTGCAGTGACTTCCAGGCTTGAATTTCCTGCCTGTCACTTAATTTGTCACCGGAGACGTCACATTACTCAAAAATTGAACACAATGTCACCAAGTTAATCAATCCGATCCATACGGCAGCCCACCCGAACAACACAAAGCATTCTGGGAGATGATTGATGATCATTACCTTGTCATTGACCACGCTCTTGCCATCCCAAGCCCAGCCGCGCTTGGTGAAGTAGTTGACGGTAGCAAACTCAATCAGGGCGGAGAAGACAAAGGCGTAACACACTGCGATGAACCAATCCATGGCTGTGGCGTAGGCGACTTTCGGCAGCGAGTTACGAGCGCTGATACTCAAAGTGGTCATAGTCAGTACAGTGGTCACACCTGAGAAGAATAGAAACAATAATGCAATGTAAATTACTTTACTAAACCAATTCAGAGCTCAATTCAATTATACAACTTCTTGAAGTTAGACTTTCAACTTTAAACTCATGCTGAAATACTACTCAAAAGTTTTCGCCAAGATAGAGTTGTATGGCATAGGAAAAATAAAACCGGTTTAGCAAATGTTTGCAGAGAATGCAAATGGTTAAAATGTTGTTATGGAATAAAACATAAATTAAACACTTAACAACAGCATTAAAAATAAAAAGTTATCAATAGATATTTTTAAACTAACTTCAACTGGTCAAAATTGTTACCAAAAACATGTCTTCCATTGGTTGGGCAATACAGATAAATAAATAAAACAATAAATTAAAGAGTGACGAATACATACATAAATAAATAAGCAACACAACAATAAATAAATATATGAAACAAATGATCAAAAACAGTCCCAAAAACACTCTACATCTTTCATTGCTTGGACAATACTGATAAATAAATAAAACAAATACGAATACAAAAAAATAAAGAAATGAACCAATAAAAACAATACAACAATAAATAAATATATAAAAGGTTTAAAAAAAACTGGTCAGAATTGTTTAAAAAATACTTCACATCTTCCATTGGCTGGACAATACTGATAAATAAATAAAACAATAAATACATAAAACAATACAACAATAAATACATAACTAAAATAATGAATAAAAACTGGTCAGAATTGTTTAAAAAACGCTTCACATCTTCCATTGGCTGGACAATACTGATAAATAAAACAATAAATACATATATAAAGTATGAATAAAAACGGATCAGAATTGTTCCAAAAAAAAAAATAATAATAATATATACATCTTCCATTGATTGAAAAATACTGATAATTAAATATATAAAATAATTAATAAAAACGGGTCAAACTGGTCAGAATTGTTCCAAAAAAACACTCTTTCATTGGTTAGACAATACAGAGGCTGGCTGGATGGATGGATAGATGGATGTCATGGAACATAACCATAACTTATGTTACAACATAAGTTCGACCTGAAACAAAAGCTCTTTATACGTGCAGAGCAACACAGCAACCTTCGTGGCTCAGGAGAAAATATTTGAACATCCCAAAAATAACATATTTCACCTCAATGACTTTGAAAAACTAGAGCTTGAGTCTGTAGGGATGTCCCTGCTTTAATATCTTTGGTGTACCACATTCTGTCCAGTCTTCGGGCTTCTAATCGACCAAGAACACGACAACACTTTGGCCTATAAATGCCTGAATCACTTTCTTTCTTTCGCATTTCTGCCCCTTTAGAACTGCTGTGTTTACTGCAAAATTAAAGTATTTTTAGAAAGCGCCCTGTGAGTTACAAAGAAGGGCTTGAATAATTCTGTTTTTGAGGGAATAATACAACAAGATGACAGCCTTCTTTGGTCGGGGACCAGAGAGACAATAACCTTAATGAGAATCCTCGGGCACTTTCACGACTTTTAGTGTGCGATGCTCTGAACGCTTTCAGCTGAGACTGGAGCCGGTTCCTGACTCCTGCTCCATCTGCAATGACAGATCCACCTGCAAGCTTGGGGACTCCCATTGCGACCATGCACGTAAACAAATGCCTCCAATTAATTTCCATCGCCGTCAAACTCTTCAGTATTCAATCCCGGGTGGGACGGGCATTACAGCAGCCAACGGATGTTGGTTTGAAACGGTTTGACAGCCAGAGAGCAGCAGATGAGGAGTGTTGGATGCGGATCACCTTCCCCTGACTATCAGAAATCTTGAGGCGAAATGCAGATATCTAGCAGTGACAACACATCCATCCATCAGTGAAAGTGAAGAACGAAAGAGGTCAGAAACCACACACAGAGGATATTTTTTTAAATGGCCATTTTAAATGACATTCCAAGTGTATTTGTTCAATATTATGTACACAGCAAAAAATTTAGATATTTACCCATTAGTCATTGTGTATCATCATCTCATTTGGCCTTTTACTCCAAAGTATGGCTAGAATAAATAGTTACTAGACAAGTATACCACCGTATATGATTATAATAATAATAATAAATAATAATATTCATAATACAAAATGACAGTAGAAAACACCTTTTTTTTTACATTAAACATCATAACAGTCATTAATCATTTCATTTAGGGTTTAAATAAATAAATAAATAAATAAATAAATACAAGTTTAAAGTGCAACACTTATGTGATTATAATTTTAATAAATAAAACAATGTTTATATAATAGCATTTAACATTTTTTGTCATTTGTTTATATAAAACATCACAACAATCGTTGATCACTTAATGTATGGTTTAAATAGATAAACACATGTTTACTAGACAAGTGTACTAGTTCAAAGTACCGCAGTTATATGATTATAATTTTAATAAATAATACAATAATATTTATATATTTACAATGGCAGTGAAAAGATTTTTATTTTAAACATCACAACAGTCAATAATCATTTCGTTTAGGGTTTAAGTACATAAATAAAAAGTGTGCTAGTTATGTGATTATAATTCTAATAAATAATATTCATAATACAAAATGACAGTAAAAAACACAGTACCTTTTCTATATTAAACATCACAACAGTCATTAATCATTTCATTTAGGGTTTAAATAAATAAATAAATACAAGTTTAAAGTGCAATACTTAATTTTAATGAATAAAACAATGTTTATATAATAGCATATAAAACATCACAGCAATTGTTGATCACTTAATGTATGGTTTAAATAGATAAACACATGTTTACAAGACAAGTGTACTATAATGGCAGTAAAAAGACATACCTTTTTATTTTAAACATCACAACAGTCAATAATCATTTAGTTCGTGGTTTAAGTACATAAATAAAAGTGTGCTAGTTACGTGATTATAATTTTAATAAATTAAAAAAATATAATAAAATTTGATATATGTTGTCATTTGTTTATATTAAACATCACAACAGTCATTGATCACGTAGGGTATAAATCAATAAATGTGTACTCATTTAAAGTAGAATATAAATGAAGACATGGTAGATTAAAATTGATTTTATATTGACTGTATTATAGAGCTGTATGGGGAGCAGTAAAGAAGCGTGGGGAGCCGGATCGCCCGGGTAGCAGGTGATTTGCTTTCTGAAGAGTTTAAATGTTTAATCATTTCATTTGTAGAGACGCTGTCAGACACTAGACCACATGATGGAAAAGTATCAGTTATGGCATGGAGAGAAATGTAATCGAACACACTCAAACACTTCAGGCACATGAAAGGAACTCATACGGCCTCCAACGACTTCAAATGCTTCTGTTGTCACTTTTAAAAAAGCAAAACACCATCTGAAAAACCATCATCCTAAATAGAGGTTTTAAAATGTAATGGTGACCAACAGATTATTTTTCAGTTTCCATCAAGTGTCATTATCGACCGAGCTGCAAATAAACCTAGCTGATACCATTCAACATACCTGGCGAGAGCAGTCACTGTCAACTTAAGATGCTTTCATTTTCTAACAAAAATGTATTTACACTCGCATTCAAAACCGTAATACCTTTTTTCTTTTGTGGAGCACAAAAGATGCTTTCTTTCCATTCAGCAAAAGTAAACGTGCAACAATAAGAACAAATCAAAAGTGTAGGAGTTTCAAGTACGCGCCCTGAAAATGGCAAAAAGTGCACAAAAATCTGAGAGGAAGTTCAAAATGGCTGACTTCCTGTTGTGTTTAGGGCTACACTCCAAGAGACTTTTTTGTAGGTATGGGCTATATGCACGCATAAGTTCCGCATTTGACGCAAGGATGCTCGTCCATTTCTGGTTGTGGAGATTTAAGTGGAGGAAAACCGAGGAAAACGGGATTATGGCAGAGTCTTCAATATTTAATGTCCTCCCGTCTTTGAAACGAAACGTACATACGTTTAGATGTAATTTTATATATAGTTATGTTTGTTTAATATAATTTAAAAAAGAAGCATAAACACAACGAGGGGTGCCTGTTTTATCCGTTTTTGTGACTAACGTTTCTTTAGTATAACCATGAAGTATAAAATTCAATATAAATTCTCGGTATTGCATTGGATTGCATACGATCGGCGGAAGTTATCGAGCATCCTTACACCTTCACCGGAAATACCGCCGTGCATAGAGCCCATTGGGCCATTACATGTATGTACTGAATTTCGTAACTGTAGGCGCACTCTGTTGAACCTTTATAGGTGGCGCTATGGAGCCATTTTACCCCGCCCAATTGTGAAACGCATATCAGATGTACATATTTCGCCAGTTCTGACGTTTTGTGCATGTTTAGGCCCTTAAAGGTGCATTATGCAACATTTTATGTTAAAAATAGCCGTTTTTCTAACCCATACATGCTTAAACAATTAAACAATTGGCTGATGGGCTGAATGAGCCCTTCTCTGTTCACTGCGATCGCCCAGTAAAATAAATAAGAGGGATTCGGGACGGAGTTTGAGACGTCATGCGCGTTCACGCTCGCCTGGCCATGTCTGGCAGGTTTGTGTATTCGCCGCCATTCTCCATATTAGCGAAGACAACTCGAGCTACACAACTTTAGTCAACTTTCCACAAAAGTAGGAGATGGATTCAAAGAGACCGGTTTGTTTTTCATTCCAAACCCCAATGCCAACTCCACGCAAGACAAAGAAAATACAACTTGTGTCTAGTGCCAGGCGTCGGAATAAGACGAGAGTCAACATCGGGAAAGCTTTCAACAAATGGAGAGATCTCCGGTCTGCTCTAGGGCTCAAACGGGTCCTATACAAAGTAATAACTTATATTGTTCATGAACGTGTTTCAATAATGATACAATCATAAGTGGATACAGTAAACACATAAAACAGTTCAACATGGAGATCGATGGAAACAAAAAACGAAGTTTTCCCCTCACACACACATAAGTGTGTAATTTACTCGAATGCCTTTCCTTTCATATATTTTAAATGACTTGCACTTTATTACCTCATTATGACTGTAAC